TAGTGCCGATGGGTGTAGTAAATGGGAGCTTGAAATGTGACAGCTTGAAAATGGCAACTGTAAGAACAGTAACACAGGGAAGTTAGACGCATGAAACCATACAAAGTTACTACAATGACGAATGCAGTGGATCCGAGAGAGATGCTGGTCGCGAAAAACGAGGACCAAACACATCAGCACTGAGATATACATTCAGGGCGCAAAAAAAAAACACGAAAGGAAAGAAAGGAATAGAAACTACATACTCAAGAATGGGAAACACGTATATACAACAAGGGGCAAGGGTGCAAAATACTGGGAATCTCCTAGTAATCAAACTTCATTTGAGAACATGGGCGATGGAAACACAGGGGGTAAAAGGAGGTAATGGGGGAAGAGCAAAGGGAAATTGAGTTGGGAGCGGAACCTAATGGGAGGGGGATAAGATAATGTTGTTGGGCGTGCAGCGGTGGTGAGCACAACAAGTGCGTGAGATTGAGGCGAAAGGTTGGAACAGGAGAGACGAGGTCGGAAAAGAGCAAGGCTAGGGAGAGTGAGGGGGAAAGGAGAGTGTGATTGTGTACGTTTGGAGGTGTGGACGTGTGGAGGTATGGGGGTGTGGAGGTGTGGAGGTGTGGAGGTATGGAGGTATGGAGGTGTGGAGGTATGGAGGTATGGAGGTATGGAGGCATGGAGGTTTGGAGGTGTGTAGGTATGGCGGTGTGGAGGTATGGAGGTGTGGAGGTGTGGAGGTATGGAGGTGTGGAGGTGTGGAAGTATTAAGATATGGATGTATGGAGGTGTGGAGGTATGGAGGCATGGAGGTGTGGAGGTATGGACGTGTGGAGGTATGGGGGTGTGGAGGTGTGGAGGTGTGGAGGTGTGGATGTATGGAGGTATGGAGGTGTGTGGAGATATGGAAGTGTGGAGGTGTGGAGGTACGGAGGTATGGAGGTGTGGAGGTATGGAGGTGTGGAGGTATGGAGGTGTGGAGGTATGGAGGTGTGGAGGTATGGAGGTCTGGAGGTATGGAGGTGTGGAGGTGTGGAGGTATGGAGGTCTAGATGTATGGAGGTGTGGAGGTGTGGAGGTATGGAGGTACGGAGGTATGGAGGTGTGGGGGTATGCACGTGTGGAGACATGGAGGTGTGGAGGTGTGCAGGTATGGAGGTGTGGAGATGTTGAGGTATGGAAGTGTGAAGGTGTGGAGGTATGGAGGTGTGGAGGTATGGAGGTTTGGAGGTATGGAGGTATGGAGGTATGGAGGGGTGGAGGTGTGGAGGTATGGACGTGTGGAGGTATGGGGGTGTGGAGGTGTGGAGGTGTGGAGGTATGGAGGCATGATGGTGTGTGGAGGTATGGAGGTGTGTGGAGGTGTGGAGGTATGGAGGTATGGAGGTGTGGAGGTATGGAGGTATGGAGGTTTGGAGGTATGGAGGTACGGAGGTGTGGAGGTATGGAGGTGTGGAGGTATGGAAGTATCGGGGTGTGGAGGTGTGGACGTATGGAGGTATGGAGGTGTGGAGGTATGGAGGTGTGGAGGTATGGAGTTATGGAGGTGTGGAGGTATGGATGTGTGGAGGTGTGGAGGTGTGGAGGTGTGGAGGTATGGAAGTATGCAGGTATAGAGGTGTGGAGGTTTAGAGGTGTAGAGGTATGGAAGTATGGAGGTATGGAGGTATGGAGGTATGGATGTGTGGAGGTGTGGAGGCGTGGAGGTGTGGAGGTGTGGAGGTATGGAAGTATGGAGGTATGGAGGTTTGGAGGTGTGGAGGTGTGTAGAGGTATGGAGGCATGGAGGTGTGGGATATGGACGTGTGGAGGTTTGGGGGTGTGGAGGTGTGGAGATGTGGAGGTATGGAGGTATGGAGGTGTGTGGAGGTATGGAAGTATGGAGGTTTGGAGGTGTGTAGGTATGGAGGTGTGGAGGTATGGAGGGGTGGAGGTGTGGAGGTATGGACGTGTGGAGGTATTGGGGTGTGGAGGTGTGGAGGTATGGAGGTATGGAGATGTGTGGAGGTATGGAGGTGTGGAGGTGTGGAGGTATGGAGGTATGGAGGTTTGGGGGTATGGAGGTACGGAGGTGTGGAGGTATGGAGGTGTGGAGGTATGGAAGTATGGGGGTGTGGAGGTGTGGACGTATGGAGGTATGGAGGTGTGGAGGTATGGAGGTATGGAAGTATGGAGGTATGGAGGCATGGAGGTGTGGAGGTATGGACGTGTGGAGGTATGGGGGTGTGGAGGTGTGGAGATGTGGAGGTATGGAGGTATGGAGGTATGGAGGTATTGAGGTGTGGAGGTATGGAGGTGTGGAGGTATGGAAGGATGGAGGTATGAAGGTGTGGAGGTATGGAAGTATGGAGGTGTAGAGGTGTGGAGGTGTGGAGGTATGGAGGTGTGGAGGTGTGGAGGTACGGAGGTATGGAGGTGTGTGGAGGTATGGAGGTATGGAGGTGTGGAGGCATGGGGATGTGGAGGTGTGGAGGTGTGGAGGAATGGAGGTGTCGAGGTGTGTGGAGGTATGGACGTGTGGAATAATGGGGGTGTGAAGGTGTGGAGGTGTTGAGGTATGGAGGTATAGAGGTGTGGAGGTTCGGAGGTACGGAGGTATGGACGTGTGGAGGTATGGGGGTTTGGAGGTGTGGTGCTGTGGAGGTATGGGGGTGTGGAGGTGTGTGGAGGTATGGAGGTATGGAGGTGTGGAGGTATGGACGTGTGGAATAATGGGGTTGTGAAGATGTGGAGGTGTGGAGGTATGGAGGTATGGAGGTATGGAGGTGTGGAGGTGTGTGGAGGTATGGAGGCATGGAGGTGTGGAGGTATGGACGTGTGGAGGTATGGGGGTGTGGAGGTGTGGAGGTGTGGAGGTGTGGAGGTATGGAGGTATGGAGGTGTGGAGGTATGGACGTGTGGAGGTATGGAGGTATGGAGGTTTGGAGGTGTGTAGGTATGGAGGTGTGGAGGTATGGAGGGGTGGAGGTGTGGAAGTATGGAGGTGTTGAGGTGTGTGGAGGTATGGAGGTATGGAGGTGTGGAGGTATGAAGGTGTGGAGGTGTGGAGGTATGGAGGTGTTGAGATGTGTGGAGGTATGGAGGTATGGAGGTGTGGAGGTATGGGGGTGTGGAGGTGTGGAGGTATGGACGTGTGGAGGTGTGTGGAGGTATGGACGTGTGGAGGTATGGGGGTGTGAAGGTGTGGAGGTATGGAGGTATGGAGGTATGGAGGTGTGGAGGTATGGAGGTGTGGAGGTGTGGAGGTATGGACGTGTGGAGGTATGGGGGTGTGGAGGTGTGGAGGTATGGACGTGTGGAGGTGTGTGGAGGTATGGAGGTATGGACGTGTGGAGGTATGGACGTGTGGAGGTATGGGGGTGTGAAGGTGTGGAGGTGTGGAGGTATGGAGTTGGTGTGGAGGTATGGACGTGTGGAGGTATGGGGGTGTGGAGGTGTGGAGGTGTGGAGGTATGGAGGTATGGAGGTGTGTGGAGGTATGGAGGTGTGGAGGTGTGGAGGTACGGAGGTATGGAGGTGTGTGGAGGTATGGAGGTATGGAGGTGTGGAGGTATGGACGTGTGGAGGTATGGACGAATGGAGGAGTGGAGGTATTGAGGTGTGGAAGTATGGAGGTTTAGGTATGGAGGAAAAGCGACGAAGGCAGCGTGCGCCACGCCCGCACGCCAGCCGAGCGCGGCGAGCGCTGCGTCCGCCATCACGATGCGCGGCGAGCGCCGCGACCGCCGCCACGGTGTGCGCGAGCGAAGCGACCGCTTGCACGCGTGAGCGGCGACTGCCGCGACCGCCGCCACGGTTTGTGGCGAGCGTCGCGCTCGTCGCCACGAGAGCGGCGCGAGCTCGCAGCGAGCGGGACGAGCGCCACGGCTGGTGGCGCTGCCACGGGGATGGCGTGGCGTGCGCCATGCTCGTCCGCCTCTCCAGCATGACCCGCACTGAGCTAACTACACTGGAAAAAAGGTATGAACGGGCTTACCAAGGTAGACCGAAGCCACGTTGAATTGAAAGCTGAGGGAGAAGCTATTGATCGTCCTTCTGTGAGACTGCAAATGTCGAGGTGAAATGACTTAGAGAATTGGGCAAAGGAATTTTGAGGAATCAAGAACCGCTCAACCTGCTTCCGAACCGCGCGTTTCTTGATTTTGTTCCAGCATTTAGGTGAGACGAATTTGCCGGTTTCCCACCTAGTTTCTGCTGGTTTCTGCAGTTTCCCAAGGCAGACTGGGCTGAGGCACGTGACACAATCACGTGAAAACGACACCTCATACGAAACTAACTGCACCTCTGCTCGCAATGATTAGGCTGCAACAACGGCTGGAAAAATACCCTCTCGTTGTAACCAACCAGACGCCCTCACATTTTTATGAACTTTGATTATCCCGAACCTATGTTGAAGCATTGTTTTCGCAGAGATTCACAAAGGGCAAGCAGGATTCGAACACCGAAATGAACATGGGGAGAATTAGGCTGTAGGGCGTGTCATATTTTTCGGAGTGGGAATGTCGGGTCTGTCGCGACAATTTGACGAGTGTCGTAAATTTTGTTACTTTCGTCGAGAACTGGTGCTCGCTTGACGGTCACAGAAATGTGACGCGCCCTAAGTGCTGACCAGGCCACACTGCAAAATTGATATGCACACTCAAAGGATACACTATTACGAATGGAAGTTAAATAATTGAAGGAAAGGATTGTATTGTATTGTATGCAATTGTCACATCTATACCACATATTTTTTACACTAGTATGCGTGTCATCCATTCAGATGGATGTTTTTCCAAACAAAAATTAATGCAATATTGCTAAGTGCGTGCCATATCGAACCATTCATATTTTAAGAATATTACCCCTTAAAGATCCTACCAAGTCCCGTAATTGACACATACGCGTATTGGCATGCTCATCAATACCGTATTACAAAAGTTTGTTCCTTGCGAGTGTATTCAAAGTTTTCAGATCTCTTTTTCGTTTGTTTGTTAACGGAATGCATCTTCATAAGGAGGCTGCGCAACCCTTTCGGCGCTCAACGTCGAACCTTGTTTTTTCACGACAAAAACCGTACTTACGTATTCACAAATGTTGTTGTTGTTGTTGTTGTTGTTGTTGTTGTTGTTGTTGTTGTTGTTGTTGTTGTTGTTGTTGTTGTTGTTGTTGTTGTTGTTGTTGTTGTTGTCGTTGCTGCTGCTGCTGCTGCTGTTGCCCCCTCGCTGCCGCTGCTGCTGCTGCTGCTGTTGCTGTTGTTGTTTTGCAACTCCAATCGTCGATAAAAATGAGCGAATATAATGACAACACAATGTACTCTGTCTCCAACAAGAGTGTATGCAATGAAACAACATGAAACAGTTATGAATGCCTTGAAGGTAGTGCATAGACACATGTGTTGCAGTAGAGATTGATGGGGTGCGCTTTGACAGCAACATTGCCGAGTGACACACTTGGGTTAACCTAGAAATCCTATGAAGGGCCACAGGCCTCTATGCTTGGAGGGCTGTGGGTGCGCTGACCCGCTACGTAACAAGCCCTTTTAGCACTGCGGTTAGCGAATGTAACATGGTATCAAAGCGCATAAGGGTTCTATTCCCGGTGTATGCCAGAATTGGATGAATGAGTCCTCCGCCTACCCCAGCGACGAGGAACAGAGGGGGTGTCAAGTGACACACTGGGTTGACCTACAGATCCTCGGAAGGGCCACATGCCTCTATGCGTGGGGTGTTTACTAACAAACACATCCTAGTTATTTTATATATATTTATATCCTAGCTGGGTCAGCTCTTAGGGGGTACAACACTTGAACTTGTATCTTCCCCACTTTCTTCCAAGTCAACTATTCTCGTCACTTTATCCCCCCCCCCCCTCCTCCCCCTCCCCCCCCCCCCCCCCCCCCCCCCCCCCCCACGCTTTCGCCCCTAGCTTTTAGCTCACCTCCTAGTCTCACGCGCCGCTCCCTCATCTCCTAGCCATCCAGCTAGCACCGTGGTTAGCTCATACCTTCTCGTAGCCAGCTCGTAGCCCGCCGCTCCCACCAGCTCGTTGCCCACCCGCTCGAACCCCGCTCGTAGCCCGCTCGCATCCGCGTAGTCGCACCCGCCGCTTGCCACCTGCCCGACAGCCCGCCACCTGCTGCCACTCGCCCACAGCCCGCTGCCAGCCAGTAGCCAGCTAGCTGTCCGCTGCCAGCCATCCAGCCGCACCACCGCTCGCGCAACTGCTCTCGCCGCTCGCATCCCAATGCCAACTCGTTGAGCTTGCCTGTAGCTCACTCGCGGCCACCAGCCTGCGGCCAACTTGCTCTCTGCCAGCCCCTTGCTAGCAGCCGCCGCTTGCTCGCCGCAGCCAGCAGCGTGCTAGCTACTGCCAGCTCGTCGCTAGCTAGTCGTCGGCGGCACCTCACTCGCTCGCCACCGCCAGCTTGCTCGCTGCCAGCTCGCAGCCAGCGGCTCGTCAGCAGCTTGCTGCAGCTGCCGCAGCCACCTGCAGCACGCTCCCGCCAGCTCGCCGCCAGCAGCTGCCCCTGCTTGCTGCTGTCGTCAGCAGCTCACTGCCGCTGCCTACCGCCGCTACCGGCCGCCACTGCCTGCCGCCACTGCCTGCCTCTACTGTCTGCCACTGCTGCCTGCCGCTGCCGTCTTGCCGCTGCTCCCTGACACCGCTGCCTATCCCCAGCGGCCTGACGCCAGTGGCTAGACGCCACCCGCCGCTGCCTGTCCCCAACTGCCTATCGCCAGCGGCTAGTCGCTAGCCGCCGCTGCCAGCTGCCAGCTGCCAGCCACTAGCCAGCAGCCGCCAGCAGCTGCCGCCAGCCGCTAGTCGCCAGCCGCTGCTGCTAGCTGCCCCCCGCCGCTGCCTGCTAGCAGCGACTAGCACCAGCCGCTAGCCGCTAGCCACCAGCCGCTGCTGCCAGCTGCCTGCCGCCAACACGGGCCGCCGACTGCCAGCAGCCAGCTGCCACCTGCAAGGCGCAAGCGCCAGCCGCCAGCTACAGCCCCAGTGTGCTAGCCTAGTGCCTTGAGCCCGTCCTTAGTGCATGCCTGCGCTCGCTCCTCTCGGTATATTCTCTCCGACTCACTTCTCTTCACTCCTCTCCCTTGCCTGACTAGCTCATATCCTAGCTATCTACCGTCATGGCAACCCTGCTTGCCTCTGTCCTCCGCCTGGTCGCCGAGGGTTGTGCGCTTGGCTTCTCTGCCTGGCTAATCGCCCTCCGCTGTCAGCTCAAGCCCATTCGCAAGGTTGGCCAAGCCCTGATGGCCCACACTTCTGGTATGTTGCCCGCCCCCCAGAGTCCGCTCCTCTTGCCGCTGATACGACGTCAGCGCAGCAAGCGGCGCACGATGCTGCCCTGGCCGCCTCCTCTGTCTGGGAGTCCCTCGACGTAGCTGCGCAACTGGTAATCACTAGAGCCCTTCTCTTAGACAAGCAGACCCACTTTGAGACTCTCAAGTCTGCCAAGGAAATCCGAGACGCAGTTATTGCTTGATACTCTACCCACTCCTTTGCTACCCTAGGTCGTCTCCTGCTGCCATTTCTTTTCTCCGACCTTGCCTCTTTCTCACCTTGCTGTAGTTGGCTTACCTCTCTGCCGCTGTACCCCATCTCGGCGTCATGCTAGTATCCCTTGAGGGTGACTTGGATCCCGCGCTCTTACGTTGAGGCGGTGTCGGGGCCCTGGGCAGCCCAATGGATACTGGCCATGGAGGCTCGTATGGCATCCTACAGATCCACAGGCACTTACGTCGACGCAATTCCCCCTCCTAGGGCGAACGTAGTGGATGGCATGTGGATCTACAGGGTGAAGCGCGCACCTAGAGAGCCGCCGAAGTTCAAGACGCATTACGTGGCTAGAGGCTTCAGTCATCGGGAAGGTGTAGATTTCTTATAGACCTTCTTCCCTACCCTGAAGGTGACTTCTCTTCGGATGCTCCTCTACCTAGCCGCGCAGACTACGAGCAGATCTACCTATAATAAGACGTCCACACTAGCGGCCCTCCAGTTCTTCCCTCCCTCAGCTGACCCCTCGCTCTTTGTTCATGCTGGTCAGATCCTGTTCTACATCCTAGTGTACGTAGACGATCGGATCTTTGCTACTCCTGACAGAGACGCTTTGGCCCCAGTGAAGGCCGAGCTACTTAGGAGGCACACCTGCATTGACTTGTGGGAGTTGCTGCGCTATCTGGGTTTGGAGATCTCTCGTGACCATGCCGCCTGCACACTCACCCTCTCCCAGTCCCACATGGTGCAGCAGATTCTTCAGAGGAGTACCGGTGGAGGTGTGCTCAAACCTCATCGACAGTATGCCGAGGAGGATCAAGGCAGTGATTCGTGCAAAGGGACGCTGGACTAGGTACTAGTTTTTCTTGTTTCTAGTTTGCTGCCTATCTCGGTACAAATTGCCCGGATGTGCTCTTATGAAATGCTTAGGTGTTTAAGGACCATGTACTATACTACTTTGGTTTCTGGAGACTTGAATGAGTGCTCTAACTGATCTTCTCAACGTGTATGCACACCATAAATTAAGGCTTAATGTTTTCGACGCTCCACTCATCAAAATGCAAAAAATTACTAAACATCCGGACAATTTTTTCCGTCACTATAGGTGAGCGGCCCAGGTGCACCCCAGTCCTGTTTGCTCACAACAAGGTCATGATTCTCCTATATCGGGAGGCTCGACTTGAGGGCAGGGCCAAGCATATCCAGCTGCAGTACTTCTTGCTGCATGGCTTGCGTAGTGCACATGGGCACAGAGGCAAATACTGCTGATATCTTCACCTAGGCGTTTCCGCCTCATGCTCATCAACGGGTTTGCACTCAACTTAGCCGAGTACATGTAGTTGCTCACTTGCTTGTATCTGGAACTCATTCTATACTTGGTTATACCTGCTTGTCTTGCTATACTTGCTGACTGGCCTATTGGCCCCTACCTTAGTGGATAGACTAGTAGTGTTGCCGTGAGTTACTATGTTACATCCACAATTAGCCAGACTAGTGGTGCTGTCTTAGTTTCCTGGTTTGTTAGACGTTGCCACTACCTAGGCTAGGGGGTGTGTCAACTAGCAAATATATCCTAGTAAATTTACATGTGTTTATATCCTAGCTAGGTCAGCTCTTAAGGGGTACAACACTTGTACTTGTACCTCCCTCACTTTCTTCCTAGTCAACCATTCTCGTCACTTCAACATGGGGGGCTATGGACACGCTGGCCCGCGGCTAAAATAGCAGACCTTGATGCCACTTGAATATTGAGGTGCTGAATATTGGTTAAGTATAGAAACATCCTAACTCTGTTTCTGAACAAGAGCGTTCCATTTCGTGCTTGGAAACAAAACGAAAAACAGCCTGAGCTTTTGATTGGTCCAGACCAGAAGCGAACAACCATGCTGTGCATTACGACACGGTGATTTTTGTGCGAAACGCAAGTGACAATGTGCGGATCGCCTACACCCATGCAACGTGCACTCGGCGATTTTAGGGGAGGGGAGAGAGTCGAGGGAAAAAGGGCGCAAAGCGACTGTGGAAATCAAGTGATTTCCAGGTCTGCAACTCCTAATTCAAGCGCCCCCAGCAAATCGACGAGCCGAAACCAACACGACTAGCGCCATTCTGCTACCATAGCACAAGCACACAGAATCGACTTCGCCATAACAGCTTAGAGCAGCAACGCGTGCCACGATTACAGACGGGGGGACTAGCCATGACAACTAGGGGAGACGAAAGCGAGGTGTGTGGACAGACCTACGCGGGAGTGTATGCAAGCCACTATACCCGTTTAGCTGCCAAATGCAAGCCTCCAAATGCAGCCGCCCTAGGACACCGGCCCAGGCCCACGCGACTCCCAACCGTCAACGTACGAGAGTCGCATACGCTTCGTAATTGGGCCGGTAGCCTTGGCAAAATGACGCACGTCGTGTGTGAGCTAAGGATGCCGTGGCCCAGTTGCAAACGCGCCGTAAGCATCCTCAACTCGTCACGAGCGTGTCAGCTTAGGATGACGTAGCATGCACGTACCGTATCCCACTCTGAGATGCGCCATACACGGTATGCGACGCACGTCTAGAGACGGACAAGAAGGGGCGTCCCCCTCGTACGCAAACCTCAGCACACGGACCTGCACGGGTAGTGGATTCGCCAGCAAAACCAACAATGCCGTCATTGCGACACGCTCGGTAGGGCCATACCTTGTGCGGTGCTCACACTCCCATCTCCAACTACCCTACAACCCGACGCAGGACGTAAGGACCACTTCCAGCTTCGCGCTATCGTCAAGCAGCGGGGGGGGCGGCCACCTTTAATCGTCGCTCGTCAAACA